CAAGTGCCCCTGAGTTCAATCCCTAGTATCTCCCCCAAAAAAGAATTGTAAGCCAAGACTGTAAGCCACAATTGAAGAAGCTGTGCCACAATTTTAAATTGATAATTCTCTTCCAGTCTGAGGATAGGATAGTCTATTTAGAGCCAGAAATTAGGTCAAAAATTGGGTTTGGGGGCTGGGGTCATAGTGCAATGGTAGAGCTCTTGTCTAGTATGTGTGAGACACTGGGTTTGATTCTCAGCCCTGCATATAAATAAATAAAATAAAGGTTCATTGAAACTTACAAAAAGAAAAAAAAATTTGAGTTTCATAGCCCTAATCAAGGCAGGGTTGCTACAGGAAATCCTCACAGTTTAGCTCTGCCATCTTCCCAGACCTATCTAGATACTAAATGGTAGTGCATACAACTTGAAAAAGCCACCGAAAGGGGGCAGACAAGCTTACTTAAGCCACAAAAGCAAAGGTCTCCCACAATATCGGTAGCAAAATTACTTGGAGAACTTGCTAGAAAGATAAATCTCCAGAACTATTCACCTCCAAGACCTGGGCAACTAAAGGTACACAACATGTTGGGGGAAAGTGGAGTAGGGTGGAGAAGCGATGGATTCTACTTGAGGCAGAAAAGAGGGAAAAGAAAAAAGAATCAGAGCTGAAAAAGAAAAAAGCTTTGGGAAAAGAAGCATGGCAGTGAGCAGATGCACAAAAGCACAAAACTATAAAATGAAAACATAGTTCATGGTATTGGGTAGAACATGGCTCTCAGAATGCCAGGCATGCAACCTCACTAAGAAAGCAAGATGGCACAAAGATTCATCAACCCTGGCTTTCCTGGAGTCTCTGCTTTCAAGTTGGCCTGACAAAATTCTCAGAAAATTCCAGACCATCAGGCTGGGAAAATGGGCCAACATCCAAAACAGAATGGCTGCAAGACAGATAAGCCAGGTATGTGTCTGCAACATTGCATTATCTTAGGTGATTATTTGCTCTTAGTGTCTCTTCCCATTTTGTAATTGGATTTTCTGATCTCAGAAAATACATCCATTCCAGAATGCCCATTTCCTTGTTTCTTATTCCCTTCCCTTACCACTACTACAGCATTTAGCTGAGGGAAGGATACATTCTCTGGGCTTCTAGAAGTCACAGTAGCAGTGACCAACCCTTGGGGTCTTGACAGTATTAAATTTTGTGTTCTGGTCCAGTTGACCCATATCTGTGGATTAATTCACAAATTAGGTCATACCTCTCATAACAAAATTTCACTTCTGAAAATTCTTGTGTTGTTTCACACATGAGTTTTGGGGCATACCTCATATCTAAGGCACAACAGTATCTTTATTTCTTGTTCCTCAGTTCCAGGCAGCCTCCTGAGGCTGTCATCAGATCATTTGTTTACTCAGCCTACTTAGGTCTCATGAATTTTGTCTGCATCCTCAATGCTATTATTTGTTTACAAGGACATGAAACATACATCTTATCTTATCTCTTGTATTGTGTCCCTCTTTTTGGGGAGGAGAATACTGGGGATTGAACCCAGGGCCTGTGCATGCTAACCACATGTTAGACCACTGAGCTACACCCTTAATCTACTGTGTCCTTTTAATACCCTCCCCATTTATGGTACTGGGGATCAAACCCAGTGTTTTACCACTGAGCTACATTTCCTTATTCATTTTTCATATAGTCTTGCTAAATTGCTGGCCTTGAACTTTTGATCCTCCAGCCTCAGCCTCCCAGATTACTGAGATTACAGGCTTGCACAACCAAGCCTAGCAATGTCCCTATCTTACCTGGACTTTGACTTCTTTTTATACTTCTTGTTCCATGCATCCTTTTCCTGTAAATATATCAGGAGAACTAAAAAAGATGAGTATCCAGTCCAACTTATTTTCTTGATAAAAAAAGTGAAACTATATTTAATAAAATATTTAGATCTAACTTAGCTCCCCCCTCACACCTTTTAAAAGTATTTTTTTTTAAGTTGTAGGTGGACACTATATTTTTTATTTTTATGTGGTGCTAAGGATGGAACTGAGTGCCTCATGCATGCTAGAAAAGTGCTCTACTTCTGAGCCACAACCCCAGCCCTTTATTTTTATTTATTTTTATGTGGTGTTGAGGATCGAACCTAGTACCTCACCCGCACTAGGCAAGCACTCGACTCCTGAGCCACAACACCTACCCCCATCCCAGCCCTTTTTATTTTGAGACAGAACAGGGTCTCTCTCCCTAAATTGCTTGGGTTTTGCTTACTTGCTGAGACTAGTCTCAAACTTGTGATCCTCCTACCTCAGTCTCTGTAGTGCCTGGGATTACAGGTTTTTGCCACCATACCTTGTGGATTGGGATTTATTAATATAGTATCTATGATTTATTTAATGCTGTTTTGGATCAAAAAGGCATTTCCCAAAATGTTTTTGTATAAAAAATGTAACTTTCTTTACAATAATTTATGAAGATAATATTATGGCAAAAAGAATAAAACACATGGAGCTGGGATGGTGGCTCAGTGGTAGAAAGCTCATCTAGCACATGCGAGGCCCTGGGTTTAATCCTCAGCACTACATAAAAATAGATAAATAAAATAAAGGTATTGTTTCCAACTACTTCCAAAAAATAAAAAAATGTTAAAAAAGAATAAAACACATAAATTATGATTTATTAAAACAATGAAGTAAAACTGTAAATATTCCAAAGAAAAGGAAGAGGATTTAGAATGAATTTAGGCAAATCTATTTTGATTATTAATCCAAAGAACAGATTTCAAATGCTATTATTCAATGAATATACCACCACCCCTTTTATTTTGGGTGCCGGGGATTAAACCCAAGGCAAGCACTCTACCAACTGAGTTATATCCCCAGCCCAATGAGTATACCTTCTTAAGTATAAATACCTTCAAGAACACTATGTTGTCTGTAAAAAATGATAAACAGCTCTGAATCAATAAAAGAACATAAGTTGTTGCTCAGGGCCTTGCTAAATTGTAAAGCTGGAACTTGCAACCCTCCTACCTCTGCCTCCCTAGTTGCTGGGATTACAAGTACAAACCATGGTGCTCAGCACAACTTTTTAATTAGTAAAGCAAAGCAACATTTATTTTTGAAATTTCATTTTTAAAGGTAATGCACATGCTAAATAGAGAAATGTAAGGTCTGCAGATATAGCTCAGTGGTAAAGATCTTGCCTAGCATGCTTGAGGCCCTGGGTTCTATCTCTAGTGTTGTCAAAAAACAACCATACAAGCAAACAAAACCAGCAGCAATTACAACAAAAAAAAAAAAAAAAAAAAAAAAAAAGAGAGAGAGGTAAAAGAGAAAAGAGAAATACAAAAAGAGAGGCTGGGCTTAGTGGCACACACCAGCAACTTGGGAGGCTAAGGCAGGAGGATCTCAACAATTTAGTGAGATCTTTTCTCAAAATAAAAAATATGCAGGTGCGGTGATGCACGCCTATAATCCCAGAGGCTCGGGAGGCTGAGCCAGGAGGATCAAAGCCAGACTCAGCAACTTAGTGGGGTGTTATGTTAAGCAACTCAGTGAGAACCTATCTATAAATAAAATATAAAATAGGGCTGGGGATGTGGCTCAATGGTTGAGCACCCCTGGGTTCAATCCTCAGTACAAAAAATAAAAATGACTTGGGAAACCCAGGCAGGAGGATTGCAAGTCCAAGGCCCGCCTAAGTAATTTAGTGAGGCCCTAAGCAACTTAACATGACCTTGTCTCAAAATAAGAATGGGCTGGGGATATAGCTCAGTGGTAAAAGCAAACCTGGATCAATTCTTAGTACAAAAAAATAATAAAAACTAAACAATCCCTAATATCAAAAAACAAAAAGTAACAATAATAATTAAAAAAAAAAAAAGGAGAGAGAGAAGTAGGGGAAGAGAGGGAGATAGGAAAATCAAAATCTACATGGGTTGGGGTTGTAGCTCACTCTACAGTGCTTGCCTCACATGTGTGGGGCACTGGGTTCAATCCTCAGCACCACCACATAAATAAATAAAATAAAGGTATTGTGTCCATCTACAACCAAAAATATTTTTAAAAAATCCTACTACAGGGCTGGGGATAACTCAGGTTGCTAGAGTGCTTGCCTAGCATGCACAAGGTCCTGGGTTTAATCCCCAGCACCACCAAAAACAAACAAATAATAATAAATGAAGGAGTCAAGTCTTTTTTTTTAAAATATTTATTCTTAAGTTTTAGGTGGACACAATATCTTTATTTTACATTTATGTGGTGTTGAGGATCGAACCCAGTGCCTCATGCATGCTAGGCGAGCACTCTACCACTGAGCCACAATCCTATCCCCAAGTTGTTTTTTTTTAGTTGTAAATTGTCAGGATGTCTTTATTTTTATGTGGGGCAAAGGATCGAACCCAGGGCCTCACGTGTGTGAAGCAAGTGCTCTACTATTGAGCTACAACCCCAGCCCAGAAGGAATCAAGTCTTAAAAAAAAAAAAAAAAAAAAATCCTACTACAAATAATCACAACTGTTAACACTTCTACTTTTTTTCTACTATTTTGGTTGATAAACAAATGCATATGACTTGGGGTTGTGGCTCAGAGGTAGAATACTTGCTGGGCCTGTGTGAGACCTCGGGTTCCATCCTTAGCACTGTAACAAAACCAAAAACTACATGTATAAATGAACCTAAGTATTCCAAATAAGAAGTGGGACTATCAAGAATGTTGAAAATATCCACATTAAACAGAAGTTGGACCAAATGTGTTCTCTCCCAAAGCAAAGATTTTTGGACACCTTTAGAATATGGCTGTCACAGGCTGGGGTTGTGGCTCAGAGGTAGAGTGCTCGCCTACCATGCATGAGGCACTGGGTTTGATCCTCAGCATCACATAAAAATAAAATCAAGATATTGTTATAACTAAAAATAAATATTTTTAAAAAAGAATATGTCTGTCACTTTAGTAATCACATATAAAACAGATTCCATAATATAGGGTTAATTCAAGCTAAAAAAATTGCAGCATTAGAATGGTTTCAAAAACACTGAAATATATTTCACTTGAAATTTGCCAAACAGATTTTTAATTAGATCATGGTGAGATTCTTCTCAAGTTGTAGAACAGTTTCCTTGAGGGCAGAATCCTCTGCCCAGTTAGCTTTACTTCCTAAAATGAGGTTCTATAATAAGAAAAAAAAATTTTTTTTAAGTTATAGGTACTTTTAAAAATTTAATAAAATTTAAAAAATCCTTTCACTATCTTATCTATTGAACATTATTTGGTATGTAGCTCTGTGATCATGAGGAAAAATGGTAGTACATTCTTGTGTCTTTATTCCTATTTTCAGTAGGGCTGCCTTGATTCCTATAATGCTAGACAAAAATTACAATGCATAAGCTTTTACTTGTTAAGGATACTTGTAATGCTATCCTAGACTGGAGGAAAAAAGACTATGGATGTGGTTCAGAGTTCACTTTGTACTAGTATGGTGAAAGGCAATAACTTACCCATAAGTAATAAGCCTTATTTTCAAAAGAGATAAAAGACCTAGTGCTCAGCCCTTGAAATGTTTCAAGACTCTCTAAAAAGTTGACAATATTTTTGTGGTAGATAAGAGGCATGATTAGGGTCATATTCAATAAAAATTCTGGTTGTTTTTCTTTGAAAAGCTATGGCTCAATGATCCAGAGTTATTGACCATCCTCAGCTCTAGTACTGAATTATTTACTAGGATCAAAAACTAAATAAAATAAGTCAATACTATAAAAATATTATTTACACCTTCTCTCCTAATTTATGTAAATGTTACCTGGAACACATGTTGAATAACTGTAGTAATTTGTATCTCTTTCTGTAGGTTTTTTTGCATGGCCTTTATCTTGTCTGAATTTTCCACATTGTCCAGATCTTCTTTCTGCTTGTTCTTTTCTGTCTGTATTTCTAAAAGCTTCCTTTCTGAAGCTTGTTTTAATTCTATTAGGTAAAAATAAAACAACATACTATATATGACGATTCTATAAACAAAGATCTCAGAAATTATGAAGTAGAATATTTCTTTGTTATTCTACACAAAAAAAAATTTTAATAAACAGCATTTTAGGCTACAGTTCTATTTTGATCTGAAAATGACTTCACTGGTACAAAATAACAGTATTTTAAATTACTTTTTTTTTTGGCGGTACTGGGGATTGAGCTCAGGTCCTCTTGCATGCTAGGAAAGTAATCTCTACAACTGAGCTACGTCCACTATCCCCTACCCTTTTTTGGGTGGGGGATTGAGACCAGGGTGCTTAACTACTAAGTCACATTCCCAGCTCTTTTTATTTTAAGACAGGGTCTTGCTAAATTGCTGAGGCTGGCCTTGAACTTGTGATCTTCCTGCCTCACCCTCCCAAATTACAAGGATTATAGGTGTGTGTCACCATGTCTGGTACCTGTACATTTTTAACTTTTATTTTGAGACAGGGGTTCAATAAATTACCCAGGGCTACCTGGAATTTGTGATCCTCCTGCTTCAGCCTCTAGAGTAGTTGGGATTACTGGCATGGTCTATCATGCCCAGCAATATTTTAATTTTGTTGAACAATGTCCTCAGTGAAATGTTCAAAATATTTATGTACAACAATAACAGCTGTCATTTGAAGTGGCATGATGTAAAAGAGAACTTACTCTAGGTTGTCAACATAGGCAGGTGATACCTATAAATAAAAGCAAATACTTTTCCCCCTTTAATTACATAAATGACACATAAGCTAAATTTTAAATAAAAAATAAGATCCCCTTCTTTAGGGACAAATATCATGAACAATTTTTTTGTATATCCCCCCAAAGTTCTGAGAATTAAACTACCAATTTGAAAGTATAAATGGGTATATCTCAAAGGGTTTAATCTTTGACATTAATGAAATAAAATCAGGTTAGAACGCAATGAAAAATAAAATAAAACATCAACAGGGTGATCAGAATAGATGACCAAGATACCCGACTAGGAGGCAAATCTATATAATGTTTAAAAATAAAACATCAGTACTATATGCTGGTAAATGAAAAAAAGTTTACAGTAGAAAAAAAAGTGATGCCAATTTAAAAAAAAATATGCATTGGGGCAGGGTTGTGGCTCAGTGGTAGAGCACTTACCTAGCATGTGTGAGACACTGGGTTCAATCCCCAGAACCACATAAAAATAAACAAATAAAATAAAGGTATTTTTTCCATCTATAACTAAAAAATATATTTCAAAAAAGAAATATGCATTAAAGATTTTTTTTTTTGAGAGAGAGACAGAGTTTTTAACATTTATTTTTCAATTTTTGGGGGACACAACATTTTTGTTTGTATATGGTGCTGAGTATCGAATCTGGGCTACACGCATGCCAGGCAAATGCGCTACCTCTTGAGCCACATCCCCAGCCTGCATTAAAGATTATCTCTTGATGATTGAGGAAAAAAAATTAACCTTTTCTATATATATTTACCTTTTTCTAAATTTTCTATAGAGAATGTATATTACTTTTGAAATAAACATTTTAATAGTTTCAATGCAAAAAGCTACCTCATGTCATCATAAATTAAGTGAAAGGCTATAGAACCATATGTATAAACTGTTTATTTAGAAATTATCTATATTTTGGGGGCTGGGGTTATGGCTCAACAGTAGAGCATTTGCCTTGCATGTGTTAGGTACTGGGTTCAATTCTCAGCACCACATATAAATAAATGAATAAAATAAAGGTCCATCAACAACTAAAAAAAATAATAATAATTATATATCCCCCAGTACTGGGGATTGAATCTGGGGTACTCTACCACTGAGCTATATTCCCCTATCCCTAACCCTTTTTATTTTTTCTTTTGAGACAGAGTCTCAATAAAGTTGCCCAGGCTGGCCTTGAACTTGTGATTCTCCTGCCATAGCCTCCTGAGTAGCTGGGATTATAGGCAAATTCCACTGGGCTTAGCATATATAACTATTTTCTATGGTCCTGAAGGAAGATCTCTAATGACATGTATCAGACTGAGATCACATGGGAAGAAAGCATGACTTTTGCATTATAATTTTCTGTATCATTCGATTTCCCCCCACTAAGAATGTATTAATTTTTATGATTTAAAGTTCTAAACCACAAGAATAAATACGCAAATATATTTCATATTTTTAAAATTTCCACATTCAAAATTTTAAAAATTAAAAAATTTCTCAGTAGCTGAGAGATCTGGCCTTATCAATTTCCAAAGTAGGTAAAAATGTGTTCTATCAAAACAACAAAAAGTATTCTACATACGTAATCTCTTCTTTCTAACATCAAGCAGTTTTTCCTCTAATTCCCAAGATTCCTGTTATTAAAATAAAAAGATTAAAGCATATTATTTAAGAATAAATCTAAAATACTTAAATTATTGAATTTCATCTATCCATGTTTTCTAAAGTTTCCATTTTCAATTCTTCTACTTCATACAACAAAAGGGAGAAGATAGTAGTTTAAATTATATATTGATCATTTGTATCATTTGTTGGCAATAAGAGTTATGAAAAAGGAGCTGGGGTTGTGGCTCAGCAGTAGAGCACTTGCCTAGCATGTGCAAGGCCCTAGGTTTGATCCTCAGCACCACGTAAAAATAAATAAAGTGTCCAACTACAACTAAAAAAAAATATTTTAAAAAACTAATTAAACCCAATGGTGCTTAACCACTGAGCCACATCCCTAGCCTTTTTTAATATTTTATTTAGAGACAGGGTCTTGCTAAGTTGCTTAGGGCCCTGCTAAGTTGCTGAGGATGGCTTTGAACTTGTGATTCTCCTGCTTCAGCCTCCTGAGCCACTGGGATTACAGTGTGCACCACCAAGCCCAGCTTTCTTTGGGCAATCTTTTTTTATTATTATTATTTTTTAGTTGGAGATGAACACAATATCTTTATTTTATTTATTTATATGCGGTGCTAAGGATCAAACCCAGTGCCTCACGCACGTGAGGCAAGCGCTCTACCACTGAGCTACAACCCAGCCTTCTTTGAGCAATCCTTTTTTTTTTTTTTTTTAATATTTATTTTTTAGGTGTAGATGGACACAACACAATGTCTTTATTTTTTTATGGGTGCTGAGGATCGAACCTGGGTCCCACCCATGCTAGGCAAGCACTCTCCTGAGCCACAATCCTAGCCCCCAATCTTTTTTAAACATATGATACAGTTATCAGCAAAAAGTTGTCTATGAAAATGTGAGAATGCATAGTAACCCAATGTGCAAGTTTACCTGCTGTGATTTCATTACTAACTTATTCAGCTTTAATATGTGTTTCATGTTATCCATGAGCACACTGCAAAGGAATAAAAAATATGATTATATTTAACTAAAAATAATAAATATATCTCATTAATGAAGGCATCAATTAGTATATATTTACTTTTATTGAACCCCCTACTCCTTAGTAGAAAGCTGATACTTACAAAACAAATCTGGAAAAGTTTGATGTAAACTAAATTTCTTAAAATTATGAATGCATTCCCTAGAAAAAATTGTGGTCCCAGATAAGAAAGAATATTGAATTAAAGAATGAATATTTCTAAATATTCCATATTTAGGAAGAAAAAGACTTATACTTTGCATACTCTGTCCCCACACAAACTCAGCCTCCCCACCACCAGGTGGTGCATTTGTCACAGTTAATAAAACTGCACTGATACCTCATCTTTAACTAAAGTCCATAGTTGATGTGAAAGTTCATTTGGTCTTTTAAATGTGTTTTGACAAATGTGTGATGATATGTATTCACCATTAAAGTATAATGTAGAATACTGCTACAGTTTTTGGTTTGTTGTTTTTTGTGGTACTGGTATTGAACAAGGTTCAATGGTTCCAAGGTTCCAGCATGCTTGGCAAATGCTCTACAACTAAACTACATCTCCAGCTCTTAGGGCCATAGTTTCAGTGTAATTTATAAAGATTCACTGTTTAGAAACTTTTTTTTTTTTTTTGGTACTAGGGAGTCAACCCAAAGGCACTTAACCACTGACCCACATCCCCAGCCCTTTTTCTTATTTTTTATTTTAAGAGGGGTCTCACTAAATTGCTTAGGGCTTTGCTAAATTGCTGACTTTGAACTTGTGATCCCCCTGCCTCCGCCTCCAGAGTCTCTGAACTATAGGCATAAGCCACCTCACCCAGAGCCTATTAGAAATTTAATAACAGTGTTTGGAGATTGGGGCCTTTGGGAAGTAACTGGAATTATTTTTATCTTATTTTTTTGGAGTACTAGGGGTTGAACTCAGGGGCACTTGACCACTGAGCCATATCCCTAGCTCGATACTGATTTTTATTTAGAGACAAGGTCTCACTGAGTTGCTCAGCGCCTCGCTGTTTTTGAGTCTGGCTTTGAATGCTTGATCCTCCTGTCTCAGCCTCCGGAGCCACAGGATTACAGGCGTGCACCACAGTGCCTGGCAATGAGTTACTTTCAATTCCTGTTTCTTCAAAAGATGTTTCTGAGTGCTTACTACTTGGGAAGAACTGTGCCATACACCAGGATGTAAAATAAAACAAAACACAGTATGTATTTTCAAAGAGGAAAGAACCCAGTGGGGGAGAAACATAAATCTACAACCACAGTATATAGCAGTAGTAAATATGAACCAGAGTTATGCAAATGACAAAGAAGGGAAATCCTTGAATCTTAAAAAATGTGCAGTAATTACCTAGATCAGGTAGTTTGGTATGGCTGGAATAAGACTGGATAAAGCAGTGGTTCTCATGCTTCAAAATGCCACAGTCACTTGGGAGGCTTGTTAAATATGGACTCCTCAACTCCACTTTCAAAGACTGTGACAGTAGGATTGGGCTATGACTAGCAATGTGATTACTGTGACAATTCCAATTATTCTGATAGTCAGACAGGTGGGTAAAACACTAAGAAACTTAGAGAGCTCAAAAAGGAGAACCTTTGCATAACCTGGGAAAGGTGAACTCATTTTTACATTAGTTACAATAAGCGGAGGAAATGTCAAGCGGAGGAAATGTCAGTGTTCACCAAAGCAAGTCAAAGAAAATACATTTGGTTGGTCAAAGTCAAAAGTCTCTAGTTATAGGCTGGGATTGTGGCTCGGTGGTAGAACACTTGCCTAGCATGTGTGAGGCACTGGGTTCGATTCTCAGCACCACATATATATAAATAAAAAAATAAAGGTCCATTGACAACTAAAAAAAAAAAAAGTCTTTAGTTAAAGGTTAATTAGTGGTTTCTGAGAGAGTAAGTATTTTCTTTCACTGTTTACATTGGGCTTTTGTTTGCTTACATAAAAAAACCCAAGACACTAGAGCCCTAGGTGCTAGAGATGTTCAAACTAATCGTGTTCCAGTTAATGTGTTTTTGTACTGGGAACTAAACTCAGGGGTGCTTGATCATTGAACCACCCCAGCCCTTTTAATTTTTTATTTTGAGACTAAGTTCTCGGGACCTCATTAAATTGCTGAGACTAAGTTCTCAGGACCTCATTAAATTGCTGAGGCTGCTCTCAAACTTGTGATTTTCCTGCCGTAAGCCTTCTAAGTCACTAGGATTAAAGGTGTGCATCACCACACCCAGCTCCAGTTAATTTTTTGAAATAGTTATAAATTTTAAAACATGTTAAAGGCACTGTCTTGGCCTGTTTGACCTTTCTGTGGTTTTTGAGTATTATATGATGAATCTGTTCTGTACCCCAACCAACTATCTTGAGAATGTTTTAAGCTCTCTTTTATGGAGGAACAATAGTCCAGAAAACCTAAATTCAGATTTTAGGATTTTTTAATCTGAGAGTTATCTAGAATATTGGAGGAATGCAAATTAGTCTAAACTAAGACACTCAATAAAATGTTCAGATCCATCTTGGAACTTCTTCAGTGCTAATGGAAGGTGTATTTTATCTTAAGATATTTATAGATTTGAGGGGTAAGATCACAGGTAAGGTCTGGAGCCAAATTCTTGGGAACAGGTTATAGAAGACTTTGACAGCCAGAGTGTTTATTTTAACTTCCTTGGCAAACTCTTTAATCTAAATAAGCTCACTTCTACCAATGAAAAATGAGAAATAAATTTCTTATCTCACTGAGTTGTTGTTAGATTAAGTAAGGTAGTATTGTTCCTGGATAATAGTTAACACTAAATAAATGTTAACTGTCAAAACCTTCAAATTTTTCAGGTCTTCTGTATGCAACTTGCTTCTTACAGCCATAATCCATTTGGAAAAAGATGTCAACAGGACTATAAAATTTGTAATCCCAGGGAGAGCCTATAAAAATTCCATTTTTTAATCTTTTTAAAATTTCCTAGTTAAAAGCGGCTAACATTGACAGTCAATTTTTTCAAAATTCACAAAACTAAAAGCAATATGTAAAACTACCTAATTATTCCCTTCCTTTCCAAACCCATAGTCAGGGGAAGAAAATCATACCTATTCATGGTGTCATTTTTTTCCAGGTTTTTTTTAAGTGCAGTTGACAGCTGCATCCTGAAAAGGAAAAAGCCTGTATTATCAAACATGGATAACATTTATGATACATTAAAAACACACATTAAAGATGGATTTTTCTTAAGATATATGTAAAATGTAAGTAGATTTTTAAACAGCATTCCAAAAGAAATACTTTGAGGAATAAAATAGAAACATGAAATAATGCCAAGATGAACAGGGCTGTAGCACATAGTTGTGCATTGTGAGGCTGAGGCCAAGTGAGTCTGAATCTATCTTGAGCTGGATGAGTTCTCTACACCATCCACTTTGGTGGGATCAGCGTGGTTCTGAAATGGGAACACTTATAAAAATACAAAACCATGTTTGACCATAAACTTTAAAACATGCTGCTGTAAATTACTTTTAAACTCAAGTAGCTAATAATAAAAAGGCAATCAACTCAGCAATAGTAGTTATCTCTTTCCTTTTGACACACTAAGTAATTAAAGCAGCGTTAAAAAAAATCTATTTAATCCTTTCAAACACCAAATGAGATTTAATCTCATACTTCCATTTTCTTAAATGAAGTTTCCTCATTAACTGTATCCTACATAACTTCTTCAAAGGAAGATATTAAGGAAAAATGTAACTTTTCTCTCAGGGTTCAAAATTTGTAATAATCATCATTTAACTAATGATTGGACTAATTTATTTAATCTTGTTTAAAAATTCTTTCCACCTTGAACCCATAACCATTTTTTATTCAGTTCATAATGCCTACATTAAAAATGTAATAATTAGAGAGACTGGGCAGGATAAAAAGTTAAGCTAGGCAGACAGAAGAGGAGTGGGAGAGGCCAAGCGGCATGGAGCTGGGGTAGCTCCACGAGCCCTTCGCACATTGTAGATTAGTGCTTCAAATGAACTGGTGCTTCACACCATCTCCTGCCACTTGTAGAAGGTTGGCCACGTGAAGATCCAGCTGTATATGGACAGCCAAGAACTTTAGGCAGTTCTGCACTAGAGAACAGAAAACATGAGGTGCCAAAAGGATACAAAGGGAGCACCTTCCACAGGGTTATAAAAGACTTTGTGATTCAGGGTGGAGATTTTGTTAATGAAGATGGTACTGGAATTGCCAGTATTTATCTGGGGCCATTTGCAGCTGAAAATTTAAAGGTAGGCACTCAGCTCCAGGCCTTTCCATTGCAAACAGTGGCCCCAGTATAAATGGTTGTCAGTTCTTTATCAACTGCTTTAAGTGTGATTGGATGGATGGGAAGCATGTAGTATTTAGAAAAATCATTGATGGACCTCTCATGATGAGAAAGATTGAGAATGTTTCCACAGGCCCCAACAGTAAGTCCAAGCTGCCTGTGGCAATCTCATAGTGTGGGGGGATGCAGACCAGACTGACTGAATCAGTGTTAAGAATCAAAACCCAGGACTTGCTCATGCTAGGTAAGTGTTCTGCTACAGAGTTATATCCCCAGCTCCGAAGGTGCTATTTGAATGACTGAGGTATAGAAGACACTATCCCCCATTCTGGAATTACCTGGAGACATACCTTCCTGTAGGGAAAGATTATGCAAGATGTGTTGGAGCCAGTTAAGCTTGAACTCCATTCATTTCATAAGGAACTAAAGGTCAGACTGATGTCAAAGAGCTGGGCTGGTTTTACCCTCATTCTGGAGAAGTGTAGAGGAGAGCTGGAAGCATTATTTATCATGGAATGTTGCCTTTCTGTTCCCCTGGGCTGCTTATCTCCCCATTCTCAGCTGACCTCAAGTTTTCTGCCATTTTAGATTGTCCCTTGCTCTGAGTAATATTCTTGAATCAGAGAAGCTGGACTGGCCTTTGTATTTGCTCTCCTGCCTGATGTGATGTGACCCCATTTGATCCAGAGACCCTGGAAGTTTCAGATTCAGAATCACGATTGTCTGTGTTTAAAATTTCAACTCTAAATAAAGATTTTTGTGTGTGTGTGGGGGGGTTAAAAATAAAAAACAGACACAATTACCTGGCTAATGCAAGATTTTTCATTTCAAGAGCAATTTTTACCTCTTCAATTTCATTTTCTAGGTCTTCAACTTTACTATTAAAGGAACACGAACAAAATTATTTCAGCAACATCAGAAAAAGTCAATTGAAATAAGTATGTAAATTAAGACTTTGAAAAAAGCAAAGCACCTCTATTGGAATAGAAATATTCTTCAAGCTCAACTTATCTATACATATTAACAGATTTGGTAAACTGATACTTTCTGAGCTACTTGCATAGTATCTTATAAGAGGGAATGCCAGTGAACACTCATCTACATTTAAGTTTTCATTCCACATTAACAATTTCCTGATAAATGCATGACATGTTATTTGGAAAAAATAAATAAAAGAAAAAAGAAAGACAATTCTATAACATGGATAACATGATTAATTCTTAGTAAAAACCACAAATAAAATTTTAAAATATGACATACGCTTCAATTTGGTTTTCTTGAATGATTTGTTCTGGAGTTTTTTCTTCATCTACAAATAAATAATTTTTTGAAGTCAGTAATAGTTTAGAACAGTGCTGTTCAAAAGGAATGTAATATAAACAAACTATGACTGCAAAAGAGTAATTTTATTTTATTTTTTTGGTCTTGGGGATCAAATGTTAAGCACATGTTCAACCACTGAACTATACTCCCATTCCCAAAAGAAGTAATTTTAAAAATCAGCTACCATTCAGCAACTTAGTGAAACCTTGTCTCAAAACAAACAAAAAAAGGTCTAAGGATGTAGCTTAGTGGTAAAATGTTCTGGGTTCAATTCCCAGTAATTCTCTACTCCTACCCCCCACCCCCTGCCAAAAAAATCAACTTTCATATTACAAAAATAATGAGAAACAAGTGATATTATTTTTTCCCCCTTCTTTTTTTGGAACTGGGGATTGAACCCAGGGCACTTAACCACTGAGCCACATTCCCAAGTGATAATTTTTTTTTTTTTTTTAAAGAGAGCGAGAGAGTGAGAGCAAGAGAATTTTTAAAAAAATATTTATTTTAGGGGCTGGGGATGTGGCTCAGGCGGTAGCGCGCTCGTCTGGCATGCGTGCGGCCCGGGTTCGATCCCCAGCACCACATACCAACAAAGATGTTGTGTACGCCGAGAACTAAAAAATAAATATTAAAATTTCTCTCTCTCTCTCTCCCCTCTCTCACTCTTTCTTAAAAAAAAAAAATATTTATTTTATTTCTTAGTTTTAGGTGGACACAATATCTTTATTTTACATTTATGTGGTTCTGAGGATTGAACCCAGTGCCTCATGCATGCTAGGCGAGCACTCCACTACTGAGCCACAACCCCAGCCCTGAGAGAATTTTTTTAATATTTATTTTTCAGTTATCAGCAGACACAACATCTTTGTTTGTACGTGGTGCTGAGGATTGACCCCGGGCTGCACACATGCCAGGTGAGCGCGCTACCGCTTGAGCCACATCCCCAGCCCCACAAGTGTTAATTTTAATGTATTTATTTAGCTTGATAAAACCAAAATTTTATTTTAGCATGCAATTACTTTAAAATTACTAATGAAACATTTGACATTCTTTTTTACATTTATAGCCCATTTCAATGAGGACTAGCCACATTTCAAGAGCTGCACAGAGCTGGTGGTTAACATATTGGACAGACCAGTTTTAGAATGATAAAAATAAAAGGGAATAAAAAATGAATAAGGTATTTAATGTAAAAAAATCAAGTGTGGGAGACTGGGGGTATAGCTTAATGGTGGAATGCTCAGCTAGCATATGCAAAGCCCTGAGTTTAATCCCCAGCACTGGAAAAAAAATCAAATGTAGGTCTACATATTAGCAACAACTAGATATTCAAATTAAAAATTATCATGAACAATGGCATTCAACACCATGAAACATAAGGATAAGTTTACAAAACTATGACCTCTGCACTAAACACTACTAACTACCCAAATGGATAGAAACACAATGTTTATGCATTAAGAGAATCCATAGTGCTAATATAACAGTTTTTCTCACACTGATGTTTAGATCCCATTCAAATGCTATTCAAAATTCTTTTTTGGGGGTAGAAATTAATAAACTAATATTAAAATGTATGTAGAAAACCAAAGGATCTAGAATAGCAAAACAATTTGGAAAAAGGACCACCAAGTTGGAGGACATATTGTAACTGATATCAAGACTTACTATGAAGCTACATCAATCAAGACAGTGTGGTACTTGTATAAGGACAGACAAATACCTTAATGGAACAGAAAAACAAGAGTTAAGGACTTTCCATGATGATGGAAAAGCTTTATGTCTATGATGTCCAACAGAGTAGCCACTAGCCCCATGTGGCTATTGAGCATTTGATATGTGACTAGTACAACTAAAGAATTTACTTGTAAATTTAAATTTTAATTAACTTTAAAACCCACATGTGCACTGACAGGAGGACTGCTAGTTCAAAGCCAGCTTCAGTGATTTAGTGAGGCCCTAAGCAACTTTGTGAGACCCTGTCTCTTATATATACAATACAAAATAGGGCTGGGAATGTGGCTCAGTGGTTGAGTGCCCCAGAGTTCAATCCCCAGTACCAAAAAACAAACAAACAAACAAAAAAAACATTCACATGGTGCTAATGACTACTCTGCTGGACAACACAATTCTAGAAGACAAATCAAACTGATCATTACTGGGGTTTAGAGGGGGGACTGACCATGAAGTGGCACAGAGAATCTTTTGGTACAAGAGAAATGTTTTATATCACAACTGTAGCAGTTACACAGATGCATACGTTTGTCAAAACCCATCAACTTATACTCTTAAAATAAATGCCTTTATTGTAAAAATAAAAATAAATCCTTTAATCAATTAAGTCAGTAATATTTTTTACTTTTAATTTTTAATTTTGTGTGTGTGCTGGGGATCAGTCTTATGGTCTTGAGCATGGTAAACATGTGCTCTATCAATAATATACTTCCAATGTAGCATCTTTTTAAAAAATGATAAAAGAATCATTTCATATAAATATCTTTGTTTTTCTTTTTGATACTGGGTGTTGCTATGTTGCTCAGGCTGGGCTCAATTTGCAGTCCTCCAACCTTACCCTCCCAAATAGCTAGGATTAAATATCTTCTTTCTCTCTTTTTTTCCAATTTTTTTTCCTCTCATTTATTTATTTAAAAATATTTTTTAGTTGTTAATGGACCTTTATTTTATTTATTTTTATTTGGTGCTGAGAATCGAACCCAGTGCCTCACACAGGCTAGGTAAGCACTCTCACTGAGCTACAACCCCAGCCCCTATTTATTTATCTTTTTTAAGATTTTTTTTTTGTAGTTGTAAATGGACACAATACCTTTATTTAATTTATTTATCTTTATATGGTGCTGAGGATTTAACCCAGGGCCTCATATGTGCTAGGCAAGTGGTCTGTCACTGAACTACAGCCCCAGCATCTTTCCCATTTATTTTTACTAATTCATCATAATTACCATAATGGTGGGACTCGTTATATTATATTTGTACATGCATACAATACAACAATATGATTTGGCCAATATCATTCTCCAGTACTTCCCCTTTCCCTTCTCTCCTCCCTTCCCCTGGTCTCTTTCTTTTACTATACTGATCTCCTTTGATTTTCATGAAATCTCCACCCCCCTCACCCATTTTTTCCTCCCCAGCTTCCACATATAAGAGAAAATATATGAGTTTGGCTTTAAGTATCCACTTTCAAAGATTACAATGAAACATCCTGTGTGGCCTGCTTTAAATCTGTCCTCTCCTTTAATTGTAGTAATTTTATAGTATGGACTATTAAACCACAAATTTTCAGATGTTTTAATGAAATTATCTCACAGGGAAAACAAGGACTATAAAAAAAGGGGGATTCATCATTTGGATTACCTCTAAAAACATCTTCTCAAAGAAGACATACCTAGCACCCTGTCTAATGTAGTCTCTCTCTCTCTTATTCCATTATTCCTTCCTTACAAGTACCATACTTTACCTTGCATGTCTCTTTGTTTACTTGTTTTGCTACACTAGAATATACATAAATAAATTTTTATAAAGTTGATTTTCTTTTCCCTAGAGTAATATTCATCATCAAACTCCCAAAACTTTATTTGAAAATGAAATTACTCACATGCATCAACCATTGACTTATATTCTAAGAGTTGTTGTTTTGTCTGTGCTCTCAGCCTGAAAACAAAGAAAACAGAAAGTCATCTATTATGGATTGAGGTTTTACTCATGGTCATACAATAAACAAATTTATCTTCACTAAAAGCTGATATAACAAAATGAGCATAAATAAAGAAACTCAGAATTAAAGTCTTTCAGTTTGTCCTCATATTATTTAAAATAGGCACAAGGAACTTTAAGGACTCAGAGTAAGACACAAAATTAAATACAGTGGGAAAACAGCATCTGTGAGAAAAAGTTTAAAATTTACTTTTAAAATTTATTCTTAATAAGCTAGACAGAAATGGGGCTTAATGAAAACTGCTGCGTACACACACACACACACACACACACACCCACACGCATGCACGCACACAAATGTAGACCATAGTGATGAAACCTAAGAATACTGCAATCAGTTTACACATAAACATTATAACATTCTCAAAAAATAGAGAAAAACACAAAAATACTATTCCATGAACAATTAAATAATTCATAGAGAAAAGTTTCTTAGTTCTATTATTTTCCTTAATCCAAAAATCAAACATAAAATAAATAGAAAAGCTATGGGCAAAATGATAGTTATTAAGTTGTATTTATAAAACACATTTGCATGATAGTTGCATAATTCTGAAACTGTATTGAGACTTTGGAGAGCTATTCAATTAGCTAAGAGAAATTTGACAAATTCCTAAAACTCTGTGGCAAATTACTAATGTTTCAAAATTCCAAATAAAAAGAGCAATTTCTTAAAGGTAAGTAGACTAGCATTCTATAAGATACACTGAAAGAATAATTCCTTTCTTAGCTGAAATGAAAAAAAAAATCTTACATTTTTAATATTATTTTTATTGTGGGCAGGAGAAAATTTTTAGAGTACTGGAGATTGAACCTAGGAGCACTATGCCAATGAGTTACATTCCCAATCCTCAACAAAACACAGCATCTCCCTAAATTGCCTCAAATTTGCAATCCTCTTGCCTCAGTCTCCCTCCAGAGTAGATGGGATTATAAAGATGTTCCACTAAGTCAGGATGTGACTCAGTGGTAGAGTGCTTGACTGGCATGCAGGAGGCCCTGGATTCTATTCCCAGCACAGCATAAAAATAAAAGAAAAACAATAATAACAAACCAAATCAAGGGTGCTCCACTATACCCAGTTTTGGAGGGAATGTTAAAAAGGAGGGTGTAAAATTTATTGAGTAGTTAAGACCTTTTGAAGCAATGTAATGCTAAAATATAACAACAATTCTTAAGGCAAAATACCCTTGTTATGATTTAGAATAAAGGTCTACAGGGCTGGGAATATAGCTCCAGTGGTAGAGCACTGGCTTGGCACATGTGCAAGGCCTTAGGTTCAATCCCCAGCACTACCAGGAGGAAAAAAAAAAAGGACCACTCAGTAAATAGTTTAAACTTTGGGAGTCCTATGGTCTGTCTTAAGGACTCAGCTTCACCCTTGTAATGGGAAAGTTGTGTTCCAATAATACTTTACTTATGAATGCTGAAATCTAAATTTCATATAATTTCCATGTTATGAAATATTCTTGTGATTTCCTGCCAACCATTTCATATATATATATATATATACACACACATATATATTTAGTTGTCAGTGGACCTTTAATTTTTTATTTATATGCAGTGCTGAGAATTGAACCCAGTGCTAGGCAAGCCCTCTAACACTGAGCGACAACCTCAGGGTGCCCCCCACAACCATTTAAATGGAGAAACATACTATTTTTCTTCTTCTTTTGGTACTAGAAATTGAGACAAGGTCTTGCTAAGTTGTTTAGGGCCTCCCTAAATTGCTGAGGCTGGCCTCAAATTTGCAATCCTTCTGTCACAGCCTTCTGAGTTGCAAGCATGCATGACAAAATATTCTTAGTTTCAGAGGACAAACACACACACACACACCAACCACAAAAACAAAAAAAACCCTGCAGGGTGGATATGGCTTAGGGCCTTAGTCAACCCACTTTTTTTAGAAGATTGATGTCTCTTGTCATCAAATCTTCCCTACCAACTGCTTAATGGAAAAGCACAAACCAATCCTCTTGGTACATAACAAATGAAGCTTTAGAACTACAAAGGGTCAAGGCCATAAAAGAAAGGGGTGGGGGAGATCTGAAGCCTTGCACCTGGCTTTTTGGGGGCAACATCGCCTATCGATGCAGCCTCTTGGCATCCAGAATGCTGGGAGTCTCCCTCGTCCACCCCTGGAACTCTCAGAGAGGGCATCAGACAGCAGCTGCTACTGGCTCTTGGGTGGGGCCTTAAAGTCCCAGGGAGGTGCCTCTGGATGGCTAGGGCACCTCAGGTTTCAGTGACATCTGGAAGATCCAGGACAAGGCCTGGGCCCACATTCCCAGATGCCAAAAAAAGCAGACTGGGAGGGACAATGGAAGGATCCATATGTGCACTAGCAGAACTGGGGGAGACCTCTCCAGACTAGAAGCATAGTGGTCAAAATTTATCAAGTGTTTACCATCTATTAGGTACTCATGTAAAAGAAGTTAAGATGGGGCTGGGGCTGTAGCTCAGTGGTAGAGTGCTTGCCTAGCTTATGTGAGGCACTGGGTTTGATCTTCACTCAGCACCACATAAAAATAAACAAATAAAGTGTGCATCTACAACTAAAATTATTTTTAAAAGTTAAGATTTATCAAAATATGTTATATGCATGTATGAATATGTCACAATGAATCCCAGTAGTACGTATAATTATAATGCAGCAACAAAAACAATGTTTTTGAAAAGGGGTGGGACATCTTCTTTCCTGTATTTGGCCTGGGTGTGTCCCTCATCTTTTTTTTTTTTTTTCTAAGAGAGAGTGAGAGAATTTTTTAATATTTATTTTTTAGTTTTTCGGTGGACACAACACCTTTATTTTATTTTTATGTGGTGCTGAGGATCGAACCCAGCGCCCCGCGCAAGCCAGGCGAGCGCGCTACCGCTTGAGCTACATCCCCAGCCCTTGTCCCTCATCTTGCCAGAAAAATTGGGAGCCCCAGGGCGTGAGTTGGGAGAAAGGGTGGGGAAAGTTGCAGCTCCGGAGGAGCTTCCTAAGGACTCTGGGCTGAACACTTCCAGGGGGTCTCAATTAAACACCCTTAGCATCTCTCCCAGGAGGGTGTCAATTTCTCTACTTTTCGCAGAAGAAAGACACTAAAGAGTTTAAGTGAATATTGCGGTGAGTAACGAAGCCATTAAGTGACCGCGTCCTAATTCGAACCCTGGTCTTACAGAGGAGAAAGGAGAGGAGTCCTGAGCCCGGGCGCCCACTCGGCTCCGAGGAGGCGGCGAGAGGGAACTACCTGAGCAGCAGGGTCATTCGGTCGTCGCTGCGTGCCTCCTGAGCGCCGGCGACGTGCGGCAGCCCGCCTGCCCTGCCTGTCCCTCCGGAGTCCGCCGACTCTGCGGCAGTTTGCTCCTGGAGATGCCGCTCCATTGCCAACACGAAGACACCGTTGGAGAAATAAGGCGGTTCTGAAGGGGCCGCTTTTCCCGCCACGAATTCGATGCCCGGAAGGAGCCGCGAGCCCCGCCTCTTCCGCCCCAGGGCCACACCCCCTCCCGCCCTCCGGTTGGCGAGATTACTGTAGACTTAGATTTTGTGCTGGTCCAGTCGGTGGAGCTCGCTATGGACCACGAGCGATAAGTTCAAAGAACTGGGCTGGTGGTGTGACTCAGTGGTAGAGCTTGTCTCTTGTGCGTGAGACCCTGGTTCCATCTCTAGCACCGCAAAAAAAAAAAAAAAAAATCTAAGAACTTGAATTTAGCATCAGCAATGTCCTAGAACAGCAGCAGTATGGAAGGGGGGAAAAGAATACCCGACCTAAATGGTCAGTCAGTTTTGACTCTGTGACATAGCTCTTCATTGCTCTACCTCGGCACTGCTAGGCTGTAGAATTGGAAAGCTGGCCAGCGGGTTGGAAAAGATAAACTTTGGAGAGGGCTTTGGATTTTTTTTTTTTTTTTTTGTCGTGCTTAGGAATCAAACCTAAGGCCTAGGCATGTGAGACAGTGCTGCAACCATTGACCCGCATTCCATTCCCTTAGAAGGATTTAAATCTAAGGCCGTGAGGTGCATACCCCTCGTTTAGCAGAGAAATGAGTAGTTCAAGTTTTAAGGTTACCCAAACCCCCCCAAGTACAAAGCACTGCAGGCACATGAACCCCAGACTTTCAGTGTGGCCACTTGCACTTTCAATTCCTTACATGGGTACTTCATTCTGCTATCAAGTAGGATTCCCACCACTCCTGAGAATTGGGTGCCCCTAAATGTCTGCTCTGGGACTGGGCCAGTTACAGTTGAGCCATGAAGCTGAAGAAAATGCTGGCCATACATAAATGACTTGTAGGTTTTCACTGTAGTCGTGTAAGGCACATTTGTCCCTGATGCAAAAGCACAAAACCTCATTGAAAAGGGGGCCAGATATGAAAAAAATGTTCAACATCATTAGCAATTGGGAAAAAAAAAAATCAAAACTACACTGAGATTTCATCTCTCACCACTCAGAATGGCAGGGGGAAGAAGTGCTGAGGAATGGTATTGGCTTATTTATATTGTTATATAAATTGTTTATGTACGAATATGTAACAACACATTCCATCACTGTGTACAACAATAATGCACCAATAAAATATGTGGAAAGCGAAAAAAGAAAGAGGGTTGAGAATTTTTATAGCTACAGCAGTTCCCAGTTAAACTTGACCACACAGTGCTTTCCCTCCTATATCTAATAAAGTTCCTGGTATTAATTTCCTTGGCTTTTGAAAGGCGTAATAGGGGGCTGGGGATGTGGCTCAATCAGTAGCCTGCTTGCCTGCATGCGCGGGGCGCTGGGTTTGATCCTCAGCTTTCCATTAAAAAAAATTAAAAATAAAGAGGTTGTGTCCACTGAAAACTAAAAAATAGATATTAAAAAATTCTGTCTTTAAAAAAAAGGCATAGTAGGATGTAAAAGGCATTAGGCTTGCTAATCCTACCCCCAAACTCATGGAACATTGTTTCCTTTAATTAATTTTGTTTTATAAAAATGTGATCCTACAGATGTAATCCCAGATATTTGGAAGCCTGAGGCAGGAGAATCTGCCTGAGGCCAGCCTAGGAAATTTAGCAAGATCTTGTCTTAGAATAATAAAAGAATTACGAATGTTGCTAAGTGGTAGAGTGCTTCTGGGTTCAAGCCTCAGTACAAAAACAAAAACAAAATAAATAAAAATAAAAATTAGTGATCCTGTTATTCTTTTTTCACTTAACCATTTATCCAAACTGCCTTCCAATATTTCATCTCAAATCTCATTTTTGCCAGCAGTTAGTTGTCCATCAGGTTATTCACTGACTAGATTTGGAACAAAAATCATGCAATGGTCCTTCAACCAGAGAATGCATCAGATTATGGGGAGGGCTATTTCTGGATGCTTCTAGGACTACGATTTGCATTTCTACAAGTTCTCAGGTGAAGTTTTGGTTGCTGATTTGGGATGGAACTTAAACAATCACCTAGGGAATGGATCATGGCACAACCCATTTAGCTCCATTGTCCCAGATGTAGAATACCTATAACTGGTATGTAATATATAATGATTAATAATTATAATAATTAATGATATATAAGAACTGGATTATTCCAACCTATTTTATTTTTTGGTACTTTAGAATTTAACCTAGGGTGGCATTACCACTGTACTACATTCCCATCAATTTATAGTTTTTTTTTTTTTTAAGAGAGAGTGAGAGAGGAGAGAATTTTTAATATTTAGTTTTTAGTTCTCGGCAGACACATCTTTGTTGATATGTGGTGCTGAGGATCAAAGCCAGGCCGCACGCATGCCAGGCGAGCGCACTACTGCTTGAGCCACATCCCCAGCCCCATTTATAGTTTTTGATACAGGGACTCATTAAGTTGCTGAGGCTGGCTTCACAGTTGGAATCCTCCTGTCTTGACTTCTTGAGTCTCTGGGATTACAGGAATGTGCCACTTGACCACTGAGCCACATCCCCAACACTATTTTTCATTTTATTTAAAAACAGGGTCTCACTGAGTTGCTCAGTGTCTTGCTATTGCTGAGGCTGGCTTCAAACTCATAATTCTCCAGTCTCAGCCTCCTGAGACCCTGTCTAAATTTATAAAAGAGCTAACAATGAAGCTTAGTGACAGAACACCCCCGAATTCAATCCCTGGCACTGAAAATAAATTAATAAATGGTTTACTAAAGTATAGACCTAAATGAGAAAAATTAGTTTTAGAAATTGTTCATGGTTTGGGAATGATCTTGACCTTAAGATTTCAGAAGCTACACACACACACACACACACAAATTAGTTTTAGAAATTGTTCATGGTTTGGGAATCATCTTGACCTTAAGATTTCAAAGCAACACACACACACAAAAACAAAAAAAACACAGATTTGGTTACGTGAAAACTTCCTGCATGGCAAAAGACAGCATAAGGCAAATGAGAAGCTCAGAAAGCCTTCCACATTGATAAGACAATTTATTCAACTTGCCATCAGAAATTCAATTAAAATAACAAATAATATATTTTTTTGCCAGTTGAAGACTTTCAATTCTAACAATGAGGCAAAGAAAACCAGCACATTTGCATGATACCAAGAAAGTATCTGGCTCTGCCTGTCACAACTTAAAATGCATACTCAGAGAAATCTAGCATAAAGAAAAGCATAGTATATAATGATATTTCAACAGCATGTTCTGTATAGGCAAGAGAAAATGCAGTCTGAATGTCACAGGACAATGGCTGAATACACTGCAATACATCCTTACCACATAATGTGATGCACAAATCCAGGAAGGCCTAAATACAGTTGAAAAAAACTTCTATGTATAGAAGAAACCTATTAAAAAAAAATCTCTATAACAACTTAAATGTCTGTCTTTATTTATACAAGGAATGGAAGAATACATTCCAAACCTTTGATGGGATTGAGAAGGGAGGGGTAAATTACCTTTATCTTAACAAGATACCTTTGTATGTTTTTGAGCATCCTGTTTGTTAAACCAATAAACAATGATAAATACATGACATGAAAACAAGGTTTAGAATGCAAATTAAAATTCTCATTTTTCAGAGTGAAAACATTTAAAAAAATTATTAAAGTTGACAGTTTAAAGATAATGGTTAAAGTAAATCACTTAGGGCAGAAAACCTCAGGATAAATAAATAAAACAGAAGGACTAAGGATGAGGTGGCAGTTTTTTATATTTAACATAGAACTAGGCAGAAGATTTTCCAAGCTGATTTGGCTCACGTGTGGTATCCCCTAATGAAGTAACAGTTTTAGATACTTTTACCACCTCATAAAAAAGCAAATGCCAGGTATATATAACAAGTATATTAACACATAGGCAACAATTATATACATCAGTTGGATCCCCTGGTAAACTGAAAGCAGTTTTAAAAAATATTCCCCACCATCCTTTTAAGACAACTTTCAGGTTACCCATGAATAGGAAGCAACCACATTAAAACGAGTTAAACTATGAAAAATAAAAAGGGCCATGACCTTTATTTAAAAGTATGTAAAGGTAGTATAATATGTACAGGTGGCACATGGTGCCAATTTTATTTGCAGATATAGTATTCCAACTCAAATTTGCAAGTTACACCTTTGCCACAGCCTTGGCTAAATCTTGAACTAGTGCAGAATTCAGCTGTGCTAGAGTGCTGATCTTTGCATGCTTAGATGTAGCATACTTGTTCTTGATAGTCTGGAAGAGAAATAGCACAGTAATTACACTGGGGAAACAAAAACTTACAATATCCAATAGTACAGGATTCATTTAAAAAAATCAACACTTTGGGCCTGAGGTACAGCTCAGAGGTAAAACAGCAGCAGCAACCCAAAACACTTAACATGATCTCCTTAAAAATAAAGTATAAATTTGCAGGCAGTAAATCTGAATTATTCTCATTTTTTCAACATCTCATCATTAATTTGACTTACCATATGCTTTGTAAGCCCTTGATTCACCATGACTATATTCTTAGCCAGGTGCTGCATAACAGGAAGAAGAGACTCTTCAGTATATGACAGGTAATGCTGTAGAATTGGTGTCTAAGACAAAAACAAAATGTCAAAAACGTTCAATCTGGAACAAAACCCACTTATCAATGAACTTCTTATTACAAATGTCTACAACTTTTCATAAAGTTTCTAGATGTTAGTCAAGAGGGGTAGGGGGACACACACTATATGACTAATTTTAATTAAAATTTAAGACAAGTTTGAGCCTCTTTTTTCCCCAGTTTCCCTCTCAGGCTTCTGTTGAAACCTCTGCTCAAATCTCATTACACTAATGTAATTGCTGGGTTGTCCACCCCAAAGCTAGATTCCAAGTTCCTTGAGGCTGAGTTTCTTATTCATAGCTCTATTTCTAGGTTTTAGGGTAGTATCTGACACACAGGAGAAATATTAGTTGAATCAATGATTACGAATGAATTTCCAGTTATGTCATTTGACAGTTTCTACATATATAAAGGGTAACAGCTACTATGTCTTTC